CCCCTCTGCTCCCCCGAGTCCCCCTCTCAGTCCGTGCCCTGCTGGCACGTCCTCAGCCCCCCACCCCCGACTCAGCTAGCGCCCTGCAGCCTTCAGAGGGCCCCCGTGAGCCCCGTGTGGGGCGGTCCTCACCCCCCACACACGTGAGCAACCCGGGCCACCTTGGACTCGGGACCCGAATGTAAGTTATTTAGGGCTTCATGTCTGTCGTCTCGGAAGGAGGGCTTCATGCGGGCACGGGCCTCAACCACTGTTCACAGCTGGCACACAGTAGGCACTCGGGAAGTGCACCGGACCAGCGAGGCGGAGACCTGGCTGCCGGCGTGGCCCGGATACCGCCCCGGTCCTTCCCCACGAGCACCGTCCTCTGGGCAGAGGCGGGTGGGGATTGAGACATCCCGGATGCAGTGCCTCGGAGCCCAGCCTGTTTGCTCAACCAGTTTACCTGTTCACACTTGAGAGAGCCGAGGACAGAAGACAAGGAAGGGGAGCGGGCTGCCGGGAAGGACAGGCCTCCTGGGGCTCGGGAGGGCTCCCCCAGGGGCCACGCCAGGAGCCTGTCCATCCTCGGGCTCGCAGGGCCTCTCCCCGCCCACGGACCGCACGGGGCCGTGCAGAACCCAGAGGCCGACTGCCCCAGCCCGGCCCCGCAGCCTGGTGCACGTCGCTCAAGGGCTTGGTGGGCACACGGGTGTGTGGGCTCACCCCTCCCCAACCGCCCACAGTGCAGACCGAGGACGAGGGCCCCAGGACGCATCAAGCCTCAGGCATTTACTGAGTCTGGTGGTGTGCCTGGCTCCAGCCGGGGCACCGAGGAGGAGGGTCCAGGAGGATCGGGGCACGGCCCTGGGGAGTCACAGGCATGGCTGGTTCTAGGTCTGCTCAGAGCCCGCCCTGGATTGGCCTGGGAGTGGGGCCTTTTATACCTGCTGCCTCCTGGTCCCCAGACCTCTCTGTGTGGCCACAACGGATGGGAACCGTGGGGGTCCCGGCAGCCCTGGTCTA